TACGAAAATGTGAAAGTGATGTGATTGAACTGATGATTCGTAAGAAACGGATTGATACTTTATCTGACTCGTAGACACAAAATCGTGAACAAATTTTCACCGAATGTTAGTCTGACCTAGACTAGATTCGGAGAAAAACTTGAGCTCGAAAACTTGAGTTTTCTCAGCATTATCCATAAAACAGCGATCAAGAAGTTGCCTTTCGTAATTCCAGGATTTTTTTTCGTTTTAAGAGCTAACAGTTGATTTTGATAGTTCATAACGGGATAGTTGAAGACGTGGCCTTTAGGGTTTTCTGAATATATATTGAAATCCTTCAAAAAGCATTGATATATGATTAAACTAAAACCACTTCGATTTCTCATGCTCAGCCCACATGATCGCATATACTTCGTCTGCGTTTCTAAAACATAGGATATGTTAAAGCAAAATTTTCTGGTGTTATGGCAGACGACGTGAAACTAAGACGAGCAGTAACCAATTCTTTGGTCTATCAACGACAAAAACGTAAACAAGCTGATGAACATAGTCAAACAAAACAAAAGAATAACTTAATATCAAAGAATGGTGAACAAAAAATAGCACCGGCTGAGAGTATAGATGAACAAAGTGAAGTTGAGTATGAAACGAAAATGACAACATTGCATAAAACACTTCTAAAATTAATTTCAATATCATCTGTTGTACTAATTTTATTTTTATTTGAACAATATCTGCTTATCAAAGTTGAAAAAATTTTAAAAGCTTCTTTTTCTGCATCTTTTTCTTCGAAATGTTTTTTGTCGGCTCCTTTTACTAGTATAGATAAGTCAGTCTATGCGACAACAGACCAAAAGATTTATTAATTTTCTTTGATCAGTGCACCCAACTTCTTAACTATTTTGAACAGCTTCAAGTTAATAATTACTGGCAATTGCAAGAACTCGGAAACCAGCTGTATAAATATAGAAGAAAAGGCTTGTTAGTCTTACTGTTCAACAAAATCTGTCCAAAAATGTCTACACTTCGCTGTCATTTCTTAAACTCTCTTCAGCAACGATGCACTATACAGCAGAATGTGTTTTCTTGCCAACATTGTGATATGCACTATTGTGTTAATCATCTGCAACAGCATTTATTATCATTATCATTTATCACATCTCAAACACATTTTTCCACATCACCGTATCCTGCGCCGCCAGTTTATCAAACAACGCCATTGACACAGGTAGAATTTTAACGGAACTAGTCTATACCATCGTAGAGTACTAGGCATCAACTCTAAGAAGATAACAGAGTCTTTTCAGATCCACAGTTCTTTTGTATAACAAACGTGTTCCTTTTTCAGCTTAATAATTCATCATTTTTTCATACTGCGGCACCACGTAATACCACATATACTATGGAACCACACAACATCATTGCGTCAAGCGTAAATCCGTCGTTTTCGCCACTAGCATTACCATCGTCTACTCCTAATACATCATACTGTTTTACCGTATTTCCATCACCAAATGCTCAATCATTATTATCTCCAACAGGAATGGGTCCAATTCGTCGTCGTAAGAACAATAATACTAGTAATAACACAAACGCAGCATTACCGTATAAACGTTTTTCGAAACACCATTTTCAATTAAAGGATATATTAGATAGTAAAAATTATGATGAAATATATCAACAAATATTTAATCGATATTCAAACAATATAAAATATTTATGTGTAGCATTAACATCGGCATCACGTAGATTGATTTCTATTCATTTAATGTTTAAGATAAGACCTAACTACACACGGTTATTTTTGAATGATATTATAACAAATGCCACGAGAGCGAATTATGAAGATGTATTAGACGACGACGAATTCAACGAATCGATAAAACTAAACAACAGCAATTATATCGAATCAAACACATACACATCTACTAAAACGAAAACAAATTCAAGCAATAATAATAACAGCAAAAGTAAAAATCATTTTAAACAGCGCAATGATAATGCAGCACTGGCATTACAGCAACTAACAGTCACTGAAGGTAATATTAAATAACGAAAGCATCCCACAAGATATGAGTAGAAGCTCATTTGGGTTTCTTTAAGAAGAAAATCGAGCACTCAGTAAGTATGGATCCACCGGTTTTAAAGATTCTCGCGAGCCATTCCTTAACCGTTTTTACCTGTAATCACAAGTTTAACAAAGTGCGATCTTGAGTTCTGTATTTTATATTATAATACTGACGGCTCTTTTTGTTCTAGGAATGAAAATTCTTCGAACCACAATGCCGTATGATTATGTTATACATTCAACTGCAATGAGAAATACACTAGATAAGACGATTGGTGAACAAGAACGAATAGAAAAATTATTGCAGTATCAGCCACAATATCCGATCACATCATTCTCTGTACCACCATCTCATATCGAAAAAATTAATAATTGGTTGGCTAATGACTTTCATGAACGTATTCATGATCGAAATCCAACAAGAACAAGAAGCAATTGCTTGTTTATCATAGGAGAAACGAAATCAGGTACGATAGAATTGCTGGATATATTAATACATTTTCTGGGCTCCAAGTCAGACCTATGAAAATAACTTTGTAGATGACGTCAGGGGCACCCATAAGACAACCTTCTATCGTGCAGTTATTGCTATTTTAGGAAAAACAAGCTTCGCACGATCTCTCGGGACTCACATGTTCCATCGTGGCTGTTTCAGTCTTGCCGAATGGTGTGACCGAGCAGATTACGTAGTATTTGACGATATTCCCTGGGCAGACATTAAAAAACAATCGAAACAATTATTAACAGCTCCGGGTGAAGTCCAAGTTACAGATAAATATCTTCGAAAAGAAAAAATAAGAAACAACAAACCTTGTATATATTTACTGAATTTCGAAGATATCGGCGACTTGATGAAACTTAAATATTGGCAGAATAATGGCGTATTTGTACTTCTCGATGAAAATGAAAAATTATTTGTGTAATTCTCTCTTTTTAATGTTCTCTCTTGTCTGGATTATTTCAAATAA